TAACAGTAAATAAATAAATAAATAAATAAAACAGTAAGATTTTCAACCATTAATGCTTCCGCTTCTCAGAAATAAAATATGACGCAGGACTTAGAGTGATATGTGGCATTATTCTTCAGAGTCATTATTTGTTGCCTCCATTCATCTTAAGTCTCATTGTAACTGGCAAGAACACAAAATAAACATCTGTCATTCCTGTTGGCAGCAACAGTAAATTGTCTGCCAAAAAAAGGAGTAGTTAATCCCTCCTACAGGACACATTTGGCTGTAATACAATTTATCATCCCCATCAGACTAATTCGGGGGGATTCTCACAACATTGCATGATTTCTAAATACAATGGTACAAAGCAGCTCAATAACAGCCTCAATCCACCTCTTCTTGACTTGGAAAGTTAAAAGCTTGAGCACTTTGGAGAAGTGATGATTTTCTGCCCATAGTTGTTTACTCCAAATAACTAGTAAACTGTCACACTATGAAAATATTACCATTCTGTCATGTTTTGGAAAAGCTTTAGTGGAAAATGTTTTTCTTTGAGTCAGAATCAGACATAAGTGGGGGAGCATTTAATGAAAAAAACATGGTATTTTAATTCTTAAAGAGAGAGTTATTTTTCTATTGTTTTATAACATCAGAAAGTTCTTTTGAAAAATTGAAAAATCATCTTAAGGTGGTAAAAACCAGACTGGACATCGCACACCACTGCAGATATGTTTTGGTCCAATATGAAATTAGTGATATAAAAACACCTGTGTAGTCCTGTTAAAAAAACAAGTACACCCCATGATTCAGCAGCTTGCACAACGGCTTTTAACAGCAATAACCTGAAGCACTCACTTTCTGCATTACTCTGTCAGTCTCTCACATTGTGGAGACACTTTGACCCACTCGTCTTTATAATGTTTCTTCAGGTCACTGGGATCTGTGGGGATTTGTTTATGCTAGACTCTCTTAAGGTCTCACCACATCATTTCAGTCACGTTGAGGTGCATTATGGCCCAAAACCTTCACTTTGGTCTCATCTGTCCAAAGGTTTGTTCACAGGAAGCTTTGCAAACCTATGATGTGCTGTCATGAACTTTAATATTTAACATGGTAACTGAGGCCAGTAGAGTCTGTAACGTAGCTCTTAGGTCTTTTGTGATTTCTCTGAGCATTGCACCTCGGGGTTGAGTTGTGGTACTAATTTGTTTTCCCTATCACTCCATCCGTACAGCATAACAACACCTTACAGGGAAAATAAACTTTAAAAAAAGACCAACATGGTAAAAAAAACAATTCTCTAATTGACAGTGATTCTGGTGAAAGTTATTTTAAAATATTTTTCTCACACTTCTTTTGTAAGCTGCATATATGTGAAGCTCTGTTTTTTGGTTCTACTTTGTCTCCTTACTTAAGAATGTAATTCTCTCATGTTTTAATATGATTCCTGTTCTTTGCCATTAGTGCAGGAATGCTTGAATCACCTCTAATTAACTACGGAGGACAATGAGCACAACATTTTGTATGAAATCATGTAGAGTTCACTGGTTTGAATTGGTTGAAACCAGAGTGAATATCTAAATCAAACCACCCAAATGCATTTCAAAGGGTCTGTCAGAGGTTACCTCTCACGGTACAGTCAGTTGGTGATGCTTGCACGTCTTTGCACCTGTTCGACAAAGGACATATATAGCGTGGAACCACATACATTAGCACCCTCTGTAATCTCAGTGACGATCTGTCAGACAAATAAAAAGATGAATTTTGATTATTTCCCTCTCACAAAAGATGTTTAAAGGGTTTAAAAGTCTGAAACAGCTCATCTGGATCTTTTAATTTGAAATTTGAAAATTTGTGTTTTTATCCTTCTCTGACCTTCAACCAGGAAAGTAAAACACACATTAATTTGATAGTGGAAAATAATGACAGCAAATTAATTAATCCTGGTTTGCATTTATCTTGTGAACCACTTTCTGATGGACCGACACCTAACAGGACAACTTATTTTTAAGTTTTTTAATAGAACAGTGCAACAGAGAGGTGAAACTTTTTTATTTTTCATGTTACATATTAGGTGTATCAACGCAGAGTATACATGTACAAATGTAATTTCTTCAAAAATACATCAAAACTGAACTTGGACTTGACTACTAATCAGAAAAAGAAGACCACGTCTCCCAAAATAAATGGGTTTTTTTTTCTTTAATGTAGATGTTTTATTTCCTCCTGTTTTGTTTTAAACTAATCTGGTTGATTTCCACCAAGAGTACAACCTATAACAAGCACTTGACGGGTATGGACATACCATAGAAAACACACAAATACATTCATCACCATCGCCTAGAAAGGTTCAACACACTCCTCCCTAATAAACTACAGTCAAATAGTCACTGAGGAGGATGAGAATTGCAATGCAATATTGTCTTACTGGACAGGAGCTAATATAACAAAGAGGTTGCTATTTAAATAAAATCTGAGCATTTTGCATCAATTATAACTGCATAAATGTTGTACTAGTCTTTTTATTTTTAACTAAACCTGTAACGCAGTCTTTCTTTAAAAGATAGAACTGACAAATGTGCATGTTGTGTAAGTTTTATCAAACAGATTGCTGAAATAAACCTCTGTATAAAATATAAACTCTGAAACCCGCACAACAGTTTTCTAGATTTATGTAACCTGTTTGCACAAAGATAAAATCCAACTTTCAGCAGCTCCACTTCACCTCCATAAACATATTTAAGTAGATGGGACGTGAGCAGTCAGGCCTCAGCTGATGCATTCATGCTTAATGCCTTGTTTTAGATTTAAACCATAGACTGTTAGTCCCTGGAAGAAAACTATGGTTTTAGTATGGAGTGTCTTATTTACCTGTACTGTTGTGAACAGTATTGGAGTGGGAGCGCCTTTAGCTGATCTTTATGACATTTAAGTCCCATCATAAACAGACAAAAGAAAAGAAAATTCTTTCAAATAATTCCACTGTGATGACTTTAAATGTATGCTTTGCTAAAATGTGTTTATATACTGTTTTGTTGTTTGGAATGTACAGTAACATCACAGTCCTGTTCGATTAAAAAACTCTCTTCAGCAGCGTAACTGGTCCGTCTATGCACACGTACACAAAGGTTTGGGGGTCACTTTGAGTACTCCAAGTTGGGGGTTTTTCCTACAGCATAAGATTGAACATATGTTGTAAATGACAATTAAGGATGAATGAAATCACTCATCATAAGTGATTTATGAGTTTGTGTAGATGTTGTTGGAAGATAGGAGTGACACTGAAAACTTACCACTGTACTTCTACATAGATTATCTATTATAAAACATAAATTATTAATGATCGATTATTCCCTTAATTGTCACAGATAACATTACCAATCGGTTGCATTTTATATAATATCACAATCTTCTCAAAATTCATGCATTATCTAAGGGAACCCCAAACCTTTGAGGTACTGTTGGATCTGTCAACAACGAGCCTTCACTTGTATCAGTATGGACTCATTCGTGTCTTTTCACCGTCTGATTGGCCGACCCAGTCGAGCAGACCAATCGGCAGGTACACACCCTATATAGGCACTATGCAACCACATCAAAATAAATAAAATAAAGTTGTTCCATCATAGCAATATATTGTGAATATATAATTCTATCTATAAAACAAAAGCCCTCTTGTGGCTCCTATTTCTAAGACATAACAGTAGTCTAAATGTAAATTATGTGTGACAAAATCTAACATAACAAATAAGTATCCCCATAATAACATGTATACAATCTCTTATTAACATACTGTGATGAAAAAAAAAAACATGAAAACCTCCAGAGAATTTGTTGTTTATAGAGCCAAAGTCAAATCCTTCAATAACGTACTCGTCAGTGAGGCATTAAACTCCCCCCAACGTAGTCCAAAATATAAGCCTATCTGTAGTACTGTGTCCATTAAAAGGTTACTGCTTTTTCATGCACAGCCAGCAGCCACCAGCAGGCTGTCATAATGCCTCTCACTGATGAGAGGGCCATTCGTCTCTGATAACATTCTGGGCTCATTTTCTCGCTGAACTCCACGTGAACATTAACCACGAGTTGATGAATGAGCAATTAGAAAAGCGAAAGCTGATGGAAGCTTGACGTCTCATTTCTTGGATATCAGTAGCAAATGCTGTTAATAACTTGATAAATGTTTGTGAGCTGTAAAAAGTACAAAAAGTTTGGGAAGCTTTGTGAAATATAAATAAAAACAGAATCCAGTTATTTGCAAGTCTCATAAACCCATATTTTATTCACAACAGAACATAGAAAGCATAATACACATACTGGTTTAAACTGAGAAAATGTTACTAGTTTAAGAAAAATATATGCTTATTTTGAATTTAATGGCAGCAAAATATGTCCAAAAAGATGGGACGATGTTGACTGTGAGGCATCGTCGCTTCTTTTAACAACAGTGAAGAACAAGAACTGAGGAGGCCAGTTGCTGGACTTCCAGGAGAAGAATAATATCCCATTTTTGTTTGATATAGAATTCTAGCTCACCAAAAGTCCTGACTGTTCTTTTTCATACCAGTTGCAAACATATCAAATGTTTTCAACTGGAAGTCTTCCTGAGCCCAGGCTGTGACTTCAATGACAGACTCTTGCCTGTTTTAATGCAGTGTCACCTGAGGGCCTGAAGATCGCTGTCAACCAATATTGATTTTCAGTGAGATTTCAAATTATATATATATATCTATATAGATATAGATATATGGTGAAAACTTGGCCCGTTTCTTCTGAGAAACTCTTCCTCTCTAAGATGCTCTTTTTATACCCAAACATGTGACTGAGCTGTTGCCACTTAAAACCTAATTAGTTGCAAAATGTTCCTCAAGCTGTTTCTTTTAGTAACACTTACTTTTCAAACCTTTTTTTTGCCCCAATCCCAACTTTTTTAACCCTTGTTGCCGACATCAAATTCAAAATGAGCCATTTTATTCATGAAAAGTAAAATGTCTCAGTTTAAACAACTGTGGGTTTATGAGATTTGAAAATCATTACATTTTGTTTTCATGTACATTTTACACAGTGTCACAACTTTTTTAGAGTTTTGTAATTAAATGTAGTAAAACTTTATGGGGCCTGCTCTATCAGTTTAGTGATTGTAGTCCTCAGATGTCCAAATTCTTTTAAAAAAGAAGCAATTTTCATTTTACAGAAAATAAAAAGATGTCAGAATCACAATATTTTCAAATTAATGAATCATCATCACATCATACTATCTAAATATTAAAGTATAGTTCAGAGTATTTTAGTCTATGGTCATTTATATTTAGCAGCATGGAGCAGCAGCGAGACGAAGCAAAGTATACACAATAATAATAATAATGGATATGACACTGACTCTGGAAGAGGGTTCCAAAGTAGCTTGCAGATGCACTGCAACTATTGGCAACTTGAACCAGTTTAAATAGCACGCTGCATTTATATATTTTATGAGAAATGCCAAATCAAATAGATGTGTGAAATAGTGGCTGAGCTCGTCCTCATGACCTGCCTGTAGTAATATGGTCAAACTGTTAACAAAGCGGAAAACAATTTTCACTTTTTGGCAAAATTTGATTCTCGTTTCTGGTAAATCATCAAATTCTTGTTTATTATCACAGTAATACTTTTTCTACCTGTTCTCTTACACATTTCCTGTCATTTTGTGCATCGAGTCAAGCTGTATTGTACATTATTCTAATTTAGTGGGCAGGAACAATTAAATGGTGTATTGTAGGTTTTTTGCCAAGAAATAGTTCCAAATTTTAGGAAATACGCTTTGTTGTTTTCTTACTGTGGACATCCCACAGAAAAGCGGTAGTTACCATCTTTGCACTTGTACATTACATTTGAAGCTACACCCAACACAAACTGTTCCTAAAACTGAGCCATAAAATCTTAAAATAAGCATGCCAGCGATAACATTTAAATTAATGAGCTTAGGATGGATCTAGGTCAGCTGTTTCTCTCTGCTTTTTGTCTAAAGTGACTCTAACTCCACTCTTTTATTTGTGATAACTAGGTTTCAACACAAAACTGAACCAGAACAAAGTAAAATAAGTATATTTGGGGGTTTTTGACTGTTAAATGTTGAAATTTCAGATATTTCTTTTTAAGCGTGGCCTTTTAATTACAAATATTAATGTGGTCCAAACACAGATAAAATCATCAGGAGGTTTACACATTTTCCCTCATCATTGTAAAAGATGATAAATGCAAAGGCATATTCCAAAGTTAACAGTACAAATATCAGAGAAACACTAGCAAAGAGGGACATTTAGTAACAAGTAGTGAGGTTATAATGATGTAGAATTAGAGGTGATGCTATGAGAGCAACCTGGATTTGCAACGTGTAGAATTTTTTTTCCTTTTTGTTTTGTTTGTACTTTAAACACTGCCACGTATTACATACACAGCAGTTCTGTGACAACTGCAAAACAGTCATTGTGTCTCTAGTTTATGCTCTTTGTCTCAGTACAAACTCACGTTCTCCCACTCCACCAGGTACTGCACCTTCCCGTCAGGTGTGACTCGTCTCGCCAGGATCCTCACTGCCTCCCCTCCTCCCCAGCTCCTGGCCACTGTTCCGTCCCCACCTCCCATTCCCATTCCCGGTGCCCCGCCGCCACCTCCTCCTCCTCCACCACCGCTGCCACCTCCTCCTCCTCCGCCTACACCACCTCCTGCACCCATGCCAGCCTGATAAGGAGGTAAGTCACGTAGAATGAGGGGCTCCAGCTGCTTCTGCCCCAGCTGGTGTTGATGTTGGTGGTTGTGCTGGTGGTTGTGATGGTGCTGGTGGAGGTGGTTGTGGTGATGGTTGCTGTTGGAATTGAGGGGGTATGGGAAGTATGTTGGTGGTAACCTGCAGTTGTCCTCCATGCTAGGAAAAGAGAAGGGGAGGAGTTAGGAAAAGAGGATGGATTCATCTGGATGGAGATCAGTCGGTCCTTCACATATTTTATCTAAGAAAAAAAAATTAAATATAGTATTAGTGAAGTTCGTAAATAACCCATATATTAATATTAGGTAGACTTTTGGTTTGTGTCTTCTTGAATCGATGCCGCTCTCACTGCTCTCATCACTCTTGCTTGCTGCGTTTTTTTTTAATAATAATTTTGTGAAAATATGTCACAATCGCCCTTTTTCTGTTCCAAAGTCATGGTACTAATAATAGGCCAAAGAAAGTGTTAATGCAAAACAATATTACAAACATTACATTACAGCCAAGTTAACCTGTGAAGTTTGGGGTATAAAAATTACTTTGTTATTTTATCCTAATAGATATTTGTGACCAAACTCTGTGCAGACAGAGAATTAGCAACCAATTTGCAAAGCTGCATAGTCAACCATGTATCAGCCAAGGATCTAAACACTTACCCCATCAATAGAGGTTATTACCAACTGAATAGTTAATTATGAAGTTAATTATAGATGTAAAAAAAATAAATGGTTGGCAAAGACCAAGTCAGTTTTTGATATTTTAGATAACTGTATTAAAGATATTATTTTAAGTTACATCAAGTTTATTCTGTTATGTATATTTTATTCTAGTTCCTGATCTGTAGTAGTCAGTAGTATGGTTTTATGAGAAAAACATTTAGATTTTTTAACTTGTATATAAAATACCAACTATGGACATGAATTGAATATTAGCACTAACTACAGATTCTCTGTGCAGAATAAGAGTTTCATGGTCAGTTTAAAAACTGTAAAATAACCTTGCTGTCTGCTCCAAAAGAGCCAAAATTTAACAACTAATTAATTAATTAATCAATTACTGTAGGTTTGCGCTCAAAAAACCCAACAAAAAATTATATTAAGAAATCTACAGTTAAGTAATATTTAAATAACTTAAAAATATTTTATACCTGTATTATAAGAGATACAAGATGACAACAACTGTGTTTTATCTCAGAACTATTAAAACATTTGTAATAATGAATGGTCAACTAGTTCCTTTTAAGTTATTTATGTAATTTTAGATCAGAATATCAGAATCAGAAAAATTTATGAATAAATTACATAATTCTGAGCTACGTGCCAGTCTTTGCTTTGGTGTTAGGCCAAGAAACAATAACTGTCAAGAAAATCATTGATAATTAACTTGAAAAAACCAGAATGACTTCTTCTTCATAATGAATCTCTTAATTGTGAGCACATAAAACGTTTAGCAGATTTTCATTTATATTCTCTTTGTTTCATACACAGGCCTGCAGTGCTTGTAGTGGTTTATTTTGATAACTTAATCGATAAGGGGGGCTGCTCAGCTGCACTGGGAAGATTAAAAATTTGTGCTGACCGATAAAATATGTAGTGTGCGCACACTGAACATCAACAAACGTGCCACTCGGTGCTCAACTGTCAAATGTATACGATTGAGGGATCTGTCTAAAATATTTGTATACACCACATATATGTTGGCACTCACAGTGCCCCCAGGCAGTGCTTATGCAAAGGTGTTCAAGATTGGTCCACTCGTCTAGAAAGGGAACATACAAGCATATATACATACACTACATTATAGTATGACAAGTTACCCCAGACAAAGTCAGCAGTGAGCCACTATATAAGATTTAAGTCTAAATATGAGGAGGATAAATGAGAAAAACCTGTTGTAGTGATGGAGACTCCTGGAGAGTGTTGAGTTCCCATTGTAGGTGGTGTGGTATAGGGCATACATCCGTTTTGGAGGAGAGCTGTGAAGGGGATTCAGACAGGTTGACACACAATTTCCATCCAGCTGGGTTTAAAAGGAAAAGAATTTATTTTAAAGCCTCTTTGAAAAAAAACAACAACACTTTTGTGATTTCTAGCCTTGGAGTTATTTGTTTCAGGTTACTTACTTTTCTGCCACGGAGATTTCTACTGCCTAAAGAATATGATGGAAACAAGGTTTTTGACGGGTTCCTCGTGTATTTTCTCATTTTTACCTTTATCCGTGCGGCCCTGTGCTTTTCATCTGACCCAACACCCTCAAAGGCATGTTTGATGGCATCAACAATCTTATCATGTTCAAGTGAGTTCAGCTGAGCTCATCTGAAACCGGATTTGGTCACTTTTATAATCATAACCTACTTTTATTTACCTTTTTCAACTTACTATAATTTTAAGACTACTATTTCAGCCTGACATTATTCAGTTTAACAGCTACTTAAGTATTACGCGTAGCAACTAATTTTGCTTGATTAGCCCTCATCGTCAACAAACAACTGTCATGGTCCGCGCACCTCGCCAGCTGACGTCAGCTCTCGCCTCTGCTCTCTTTCTCTCTCGCTCTCTCCCGCTCTCTCTTTCTCCTGCCGGGGCGGAGCTCAGTGTGGGCTCCCGCCCCTGGCCCACGCACCTGGGGATGATCAGCACACCTGCCACTGATTATGAATTAGTGCTAGTTAAGATGGCGGACCTGCGCTACTCGTCGCTGGATCGTTGAGCCATCAGCGTCAGTCGTTCTGCAATCTGCAAAGTTTAGTACGCCTGAACCTGGAGACTAACTGTTTATCTGTATGTGTGTAGATTCCCCCCTGGACCCGTTCCCTGTGCACTGTGACTGAGCGTGAGCAAGAGTGGTGGTGGAGAGAAGAGGAGCTGTGGAAATCCTCCCTTCCTGGACTCCTGCCCCTTTCACTCGCGGACCCTGGAACCCCGGCCCCTTTTTTCCCCCAAACACCTTTGTATATATATTTCACTGTGGAGAGCACTGTAAATAAATGCACTCTTGTTTGAAGGAGTTTGTGGTCTGCGCCTGAGTCTGCTTTGCTAGCCTTGACAACAACTTTATTTATACTGTTAGACAACAATATTTTATTACATTTTTCATTTTTTAAATGGTATTTATTCATTTATTCATAATATTTAGCTAACAATTTGATAACAACTATAAACCCATATCTCCGCCTTCAACTATTCATCAGTATTCATCAGCCAATAGTTAATTAAATATAACTTTTTACATAACTACTCTGTTTCAAACGTTAGATAACACTTGTATTTGTTTATTAATACTATTAGCTTGTAATTTTAACTGTCACGCATACTTTTAATAAGCTACAGCTATTAATGATTCACCCTTTAACCATTACTGATAGTCCATTACTTTAAGTGACGTTATTCTTTTTGACTCCAAAAGGTGCAATAATTTACAAAATGAGTGCTGTTTGCATTCAATAAGACCTGAATCTAAAAGTCCAAAAAGTCATCAGGACAGTGTTTACTGAGGTCACAGACAAGAGGTCCAAAGTGTTATTTTTCCCATTGGCTTCTCTAAAAATGGACATCCTTTTGAAACCAGATGAGTCACCTCCTCCTCCTAGCCATTATATTTGTATTATTATAAATTATGGATACTACTTTTTACACAGGTGAAGTGAGTTTTTAACTCTTCTTACATCCATTAATAATTTACCTGAGCAGGAACAAAACTGTACAACTGAAAACTTCTCTTATTCATGAATAATTCACCTGAGCAATAAAATGTTACAACTCTTACCTCAGGTTAAGCTCCTCCTCTGACTTCCTGGAGTTATACAGGCTGGCCCCACCCATGTAGCCATGGCAACATGGCAGTAGCTCAATAGGGTTGGCAGCTACTGGGGGTGGACATGCCTGGGCACAGAAGACACACACAGATCAGCTTGTGTCTGGATGCCAAGATCACAGGAGTCAATGAAGCACTCGTACCTCCGTGCTCACTCATGCATTAAGTCAATTCTGCACAGGGAACGTTCTGTTTTATGACAGATACGTCTAGAGACAGGTGAGCATGCTGAAAACCAGAGTGAACACATCTTAAAACTGAGGGGATATCCATCCTGAAGGCTTTTTGCTATTCTTACAGATACAGAACAGGTTGATTTCCATTTCCTTGCACTGCCTGATGACAAAAACGGGCAGATATACAGTGGTGTAATAAAAAGTGCTTGCACCTGACCTGATTTCCTGTTTTTTGTCACACTTCAAAGTTTCAGATCATCAAACAGATTTAAATATTAGACAAAGATAACCTCAGTAAATTCAAAATGCTTTTGATTAAAGGAGAACGGTTATCCAAACATACCTGGTCCTGTGTAAAAAAAAGTAATTGCCTTTCTGGTTAAATCATGAACTAACTGTGATTAACAACATTTACTAGAAAGCTGAGCTCAGTTTCGCTAAACACACTCAGGCCTGATTGCTGGCAGACCTCTTGGATCAAGAAATCACTTAACTAGAACCTGTCTCACAAAGTAGAAGCAGGCTAAAAGGTTTCAAATAGCGACACATCGTGCCACGATCACAAGAAACACCGGAGAAGTTACTGACATCTATCAGTCTGGAAAGGGTCACAGAGCCATTTCTAAGGCTTTGGGACTCCACTGAACCACAGTGAGAGCCATTATACACACAAACCTTGGAACAGTGGTGAAGCTTCCCAGGAATGACCAATTACCCCAGGAATACAGCGATGACTCATCCAGGAGGTCACAAAAGAACCCAGAACAGCATAAAAAAACTCCAGGCTTCACATGTCTCATTTAAGGTCAAAGTTCACGATTCAACAATAAGAAAGAGACTGGCATCCAAAACCACTCCGGACCAACAGGACCATAAAGGCTTGTCTCACATTTGCCAAAAAACATCTGGGAAAATATCCTGTTGACTGATGAGACACCTTATGGAAGGTGTGTGTCCCATTATATCTGGCGTAAAAGTAACACAGCATTTCAGAAGAGGAACATCACACAGTAAAATATGGCGGTGGAGGCTGTTTTGCTGCTCAGGACCTAGAAAACTTGCTGTGGTAATTAATGATAAACACCATCATTTAGAAACTGCATTTTGTGTTGACTTGTGTTGTCTTTGTCTAATATTTAAATTGGTTCGATGATCTGAAACAATTAAGTGTGACAAACATACAAAACATAGGAAACCAGGAAGGGGGTAAAAACTCTTTTTTTTTCTTTACATCACTGTATCTTTAAATCCAAATAAATAACAGGATGCCACATCATCAAGGCTCATCAGACACAGCAGTAGGATGTCTCCCTTAGACGCATCATTCCATAGCACATCTCATAGTGCTGCTCTGCGGCGACTCATGACCCATGACAAGTAAAAACATCAGAAGATCATCAGAGCCATCAATCACTGGAGGCATCATCTCGGAGGATGCCACCTAAAGATTTCTCATCACTGGACTGTGACATATAGCACCAGAGTGAGCCCATTATCATTCCCTTCTCCAGCATTACTATTAGGATGGGATTATTATTCAGTGGCCTTAGTCGACATCTGTGCCTTTAAATGGATGTGCTCTGTCAGTGCTGGACTGTCAAGGTGCCAGCGCCACCTGGCCAAACTGTAATTGACTGCAAAGTGCACTTGGAAGTGATCCCAGGATACGCATATCAGCATTCCTTCCCATCTCACTTTCCACAGTACAAGGAAGCAGCTCCTCCAAGACGGACGGGGATTAGCATCAATCAAACGGGGCACAATGGGGCCTGGATGTGCCAGAGTGGAAACGAGTGCTCTGCAGAGCGTATTGTTCCAGGATTACTGTATGTGCACATACATGGATGACTGATGTGTAGGATGACAAAGTACAATGAGCACTGTAAGAATGCCATGTAAAAATAGTAACCACCGCATGTGATGTTCCTTGTTTCCGTGCAGTCCGCTGGGAATTGGATTTGATGATCAAGATAAATGTGGCGCTGAACTGCAGGTGTTGATGAAATACATGAGCAGCCAAGATTGGATTTGAATTATACATTTTAACTGAGCCACATACACTACACTTCATCTCTCACGTGCTAGCCTTTATGCGAACAGCAGACTGTAAAGCATCAGCAGGCTTTCAACATACAGCGAAAGGGAGAAGAAAAATATGAGGCACTGAGCTGCACTGGGTGTAAAAAGACACAGACTGAGCTCGACTGCGAAATGAACCTTCATCACAGTTTCTGACTGACAGGTTATTTGGATCGCAGAGAGCTGTTTACCTGGATGCATGAAAAAAAATTTAAAAAAAGGAAAAAATACCAGAGAGGTTTTGTTCCCCAGACCTCCTCCCCCCTTCCCCTGAGTTGAAGACAGAGGCACTGACCTGTGTCTCCATGATGCGACGCTTTGATTTACGTGACTCTGGCCCCCCCACTCTCCTCTGGCAGGGTAGCGACAATGGGCTGAAGTGAGCAAAAAAAACACATAAATAAGTATACAAGGATACACACAGAGACAGAGTCCCTGTGTGCAACACTTAGTTTTTACTGCAGTGTGATACAGAAGAGCAGTGAGATGATTGTTAATACAGACCAGCCTAAACATCCTTTGTCTGGCAATCTGTTTCTTCCTCTGTGCTTAAAACTGACCTTGTTTATAAAAGCTGCAAAAGCTAAAACTGCAAAAGCGTCTCCCAAAGGATGAAATCTCCACTGCATGCTTCCATGACTGGCCAGCATATACTTGTCATTATACTATAATTAGAACTTTATCAGTCTTAGGAATTGAAATGTGTCTTTTGTCCTAAAGGCAATGATAAAGAAAAGACCGAATAGTCATTAAATGAAGAGATTTATCCTTCTCGTAGTGTGTTTTTTTTTTTAGCAAATAGCACGGCAGTCTGGTCAGTGGATTATAAGAGAGTATAAAGCTGACATTCTGTTGTAAGGAGGATATCTTAGAGGATATCTTATGAAGTGTTAATATAAAAAGGTTTATATTCTGGGGAGAAATAACATTACAATCTGCACATATAACTTTAATATTTCTGGTGTGCAAGCTGAAATTCAATAAGAATCTGTTTGCAGTACTTTGCAGAAAAAGATGACAATTTCACCAAAGCCAATTTAAAGAAAACCATGACATTAGTTTTAGAGCTCAATTCAGTCTGGGTCACAAAAGAAAGGGTACATATAAAAAAGAATTACAGTAAATATTGATGTGGGGTTTTTTTTTTATCTCATAAGAGCTTTATTTTCTGTACTCGGATTAACTCGTGAAAGTGGCCAGTTTTGTATTTTTCTCATGCAACACAATTATATGAATTATGTATAAGAAAAATACATGCAACAAATACAAGTCACGAACACAAATCATTATCATTTTTACTGAAGACAATAGAAATGCTGATATCTGATGTGAATGGTGCTATTAGACCACGGCTCACACGACCCAGTAATTGTTTAGATATCGTCCTCTGAGGTGCATGAATATCTAAATGAAATGTTGTATGTTAGCAAAAGTCTTTGCTCAATGTTCAAGGATGCTCAGATGGTCATCTCCTCCTGTCAATCAGCAGCACAACTTCACTTATAAGATCCGGATGGTTTAATAAATATTATCCTTCAATATTGAGCTGATTGGGAGACAAATCTGAAGACAAATCTTTGAAGGTCTCAGCGTACCCAGAAGATATCTCGAACAAAACTTCCTATTCAGTCAGTTCAGATCGTGTTAACTATCAAAAAAGCTAAATTGCTAAAAGCTACAGTGTTTGCAGATTATGGATTCAAATATATAAGAAAAATGTAAAGATATATAAAATATAGAGCTATGCATAGAACATTCTTTCCTCAAAATCTGATATAAAACACCAACTTATATATCAGCCTTTACATGCCTCCCCAGCTTGGTGCTACTAAGCAATCACATCCCATGTTGCTTTAACAAAATAACCAATTGATGTCTTTTGTAAGTACTTTAAACCTAATACTGAGAACAATGTCCATTCAGATGTCTCAAATGTCCGTCAGTATCCTTTAATATCTGCTTTCTTTACTGCTGGCTCCCTCTATAAGATGAACAAACGATATCTCTTAAAATGGATGCACTGCTTAATGCTTCTGATGTGGCTGGCTGCTCATTTATAGAAAACTGACAAAACTAGTTGAACCAACAAACCTGCTGTCTGAGCAGAGGGAATTTGTAGAAATTTGGGTACGCAAAGACAATGCGTGTTACATCTCTAATATACATATCTGGATTCTGTTCGGATAAATTTTAAATTTGTGTTTCATAAATGATACGATGGTTTTGTGAAATGAAAATCCTCCCTTCAAGACTGCTCCACTCTGCAAATGATTCCATTGTAATTCAGTCTCAATACGCACCAGCTAAGTACTAAAAATGATTTATGATGTCTATGAAATCTACAGGACACGTGCAGATGCATGTGCACACACACTTGGGTAGATAATCACACGAAAGCACGCAGGGGAGCTTTCTGCTCTTTTAGGAAAATATTGAGACGCTGATACTTGTGCTGCTATATGAAAATTGCAGTCTTTTGATTCCTAAGTTAATTGTTCATGCATAATGACTATATGCCCTGTGGGAATCTCACAGCTCTTACTGAGATAAGAGCCAAAAATGAGAGACAGTGTCCTTACTCTGACCTTCTCCGGTGCGTGATGTTGATAGGTGGGTCGGTGATGAGCGGCGACGAATCGGACGTCAGCGGTGGAGGGGCTCGAACCTGAAGCCCAAAAAGACACTTTTTCTTCTTGATCTCCTTTCCAGAGACAAACCTGGGAAACACGGAAAAACATCTTCTGTCTCCAGCTGGTTCTTAAACTGTATCATCACCTTACGTGTGTGTGTGTGTGTGTGTTTCTAGCAGTCCTCTGTGACGTCAACATTAAGCTTTAAGTTGTGTAACACAATGTACATATTCTCCTGATGAAAAATTTGAATCAGGAGCATTTCAGAGGTAGTGACTGCGTAATTAACTTGTACATAATTAGAGCAGAGTCTGCCTGGAGAAAACTGCTGTTTTTTGGCCACAAGGTTTCTCTGTTTTTTCAAATATTCAAAGAAAATTTGCTCATATTAACTGCTAGACTGTTTTTAAATAATTAATACCAACGATTCCTGTCCAGCTAGACCAAACAAGTATCAAAAAGTTGTACTTTTAATCTGGTCTAACTGGCAGCCATAGTTCACTTGCTCTGTATGCAATACACCTCGCCAGTTTGAACCTGCACGTCCAACGCTACTACCTTCAGTGCACTAAGAAAAGTCTTGTATTCATAAAGTGCTACTCATCACTCCAGTCATGTGTGGTTGGTGTTTATTCTTCTCATCATATGCAATGACTTACCTGTCCTTGTGGGAGTTCAGAGCGTTGAGGAGATTGTGACAGCGGTCTTGCCTTGGCGTGTCAGAGAGCTGGAGGACAGACAGGAATGAAAAATCAAAGCTGTGTTTACACAGTAGGTGACCACCAGACAGAAAACCTCTAATGCATACAATCACTTTGTTTTACAGTTTCTGACAGCAATAATGTTGTTAACTACTTTGGCTATATGGCTAAAAATCCCTGTTGTACATGTCAAATTTGATACTAAGAACAACTTAAAGGAGAACTCAAAACCTCAGACACAGAGACAGGAAACTCTTTACCTTCCTGCTTATTCTCCTGGGGGGGAAACTAGACTTTTTACATGGTGCTATGACTTTAGCACAGATGTTAATAAGAGATGACTGATTCCTTATGAGGGATATTTGTCCCCCAGTAGGATAAATGAACATATAATAATGATATATTTTTTTAAAAGCCCATCTAAATGTGATAAATTGTAGGGACTGTGATCTTAAATTCCCCTGTATGCAAATATGTGGCTATAGTAAGCTAGAAATACTGGATAGATGTAAAAGTTGTCGTTGAGTAACTAAAATACAACATATGTTTATATTCTGGATGAAGAGCTGAAACAGTTATCTAAAAGCACTGGATAACCTGTTGGAAAATGGTTGAAATATGTATCTGAAACAAAGGATAAAGAACTGAGATAGTGAGCTGAAACTCTGTAAAGTTCAAATGAATAGCTAAAAGTAGCTAAGTGCCAATATATCAATCTGTGAATGAAATACTAGGAAATATTATAAAATTAACCAATGACAATAGAAGTTTATTTTTCAAATTAAACTGATTCTTGCTAGACACATGTTGCAAGAATGAATGAAAATGTTTGAAAAATCCATAATTGGTGCACAAAGACAAAGGAAACTATGAAAAACAAAGATGGATTCACATGTGAAATACAGTAAAAAAAGACATTCAGATTTACGAGAGGAGTACTGTACTAAAAACAAACCTACAAAAACTGTTGAGTAAACAGTTTGTTTGCTTCATTTCTTATAAGCAATGTATTAACTGTTGAAATAGTTCGCTGAAAATAATCAGTGGACATTTAAAATGGTTAAGCTGCACAGTACTGCATATGAACTACTCAACGCTTTAGCTTAAGGCAGCTAACCCATTCAAAACAGTAATAATTGTCACTTGGTGATAGTGGAGGAGAGTTCAGTTAATCTGATACGGCTGTGGGGGTCTATTGGCCAAGTAAGGTCACTAACCGCTGTCCTAGATCAACACTGAATTTTTAACTTGGTGTTCTCCTTTAAGCTTACATAGAGGTCATACATTTTTAACTTTAATTTTACTTTAATGCTGGTTAATAGGCTTTAAGTCTCAAATGTAAGAAAAAAAAAAAGCCTGGCAGCATTTCACATCATTTCATCATGGTCCTGAAACAGGGAAATATCAATACCCCGCCTAGCAGCAACGAGTCCCAATTCTCATTGGTGAAGGACAGGATTTCATGGTCAAAATCAAAGTATTTCCTCTTGCAGCACAGCGAGAGATGGTAGAGTACTAAATGAGCCAAATCCACCCTGCATTTCAAAAGAGTAAGAGTCCGTTACACAAGACAGGTAAAATGCAAAAACAGCACGGACATAAACAATCAATATTTGGTGTCATTTTTTGTATATTCTTTTCAATGGACACAATTTATATTAATTTGTGTGTCAACCAGACGTGATTACCAAAAATGGGTGGAATTAATTCTTTAAAATGTATTTTCTGTTTCTGTTCATATTCATTGGCTGTAAAAATGTCAGTAAATATGTTACAGTCAAAATGTCAAAATCACCAAGTCATGGGGAGTCTTTGGATTGTCTCTGGTCCCTTTGTACATACAGAGCACTGGAACTGATAAAACCTAGAACAGAAGAAAAAAACAAAAATTCAGACAAGCATCTCAGGTTATTCCTAAAAAACCATTTCTTTTACTCTTGATGAGTTTGTTTGTGTAATAGTTACCTATGGCAAGGAGGTCATGTAACTTTTTTTTTAGGGTTATGATTACAGAGAGGTGGGGCTTCACCCAAAACATAAGTGATTTGGTTACATTTCACTGTGTGTTATACTTGTATAACTATACATGTGACAAATAAGGAACCTTGAACCTTGTGTTTTGGATCACAGGGACACATTAGGACTGTTGAATGATGAAAAAGGTGCATTTGCAAAACATCTCCATGAAATTTTTTTTAAAAGGGAGGGGAATTTTCAACTCTGTCAAGAGGTAAGCATCTTTATTATTATTTTTTTTACAAAATAGCTAATCCTTTTGTTTATTATTTGCAGAATCAGTATTTCTTTTTGTATCTAGATATATTAATCCAGGGAACTATGTTACGTCTTGTTGAGCTCTTATTAATAACTTCAAGTGATTGATACGTGTGGGGTTTTTATTCTTTCATTTTCAGTCATGTAACAAAGGTCACGATCCCCTGCCGTCTGTGTCCCCCTATCTCTGTTCTTCGTGTTTCATTTCAGCACTAGTTATTTATCTTTAGTTCCTGCTTTACTTTGAAGATTTGCTTCATTATGTGGCTTTTTGGTTTGTTTGATTTTTAACTTTCTGCTCTTATCCCCCTCCCTCCTTGGTGATTATCTGCCCTGCCCCTATTAGTTTTACACACCTGTGTCTCATTTCTAGTCACTGCTGAGTGTGGATATATATTTCTGCCTTCTCCTTGTCCGCTGTCAAACTGTCTGTCTCGATTCCTCACACCCTTCTTTTTGGAGCCAATGACTTGCTTTTTCTTGAATATTTTGCCATCTTTGGCTACTACATTTGCGTCCTCTCGCCAATCTAGGACATAAATCTTCACAGTTTTTCCACATTTTTGCTTTCCTTGCTATCTATAGATGTCTTCTCCAGACATTTTATCATATAAATCAAGCAGAACTGGAAATAAAGGGACAGGTGTATCGTTTTTCCACTATAATAACATTCTGCCCCGAATGACCCTGAAACTGAACTCACACAACAACAACACTGTGTGCATCTGTCCTTCTATATGCATGAAGGTCACTGGGTAAGATGAAGCGCAGACATGGTATGACAGCGGTGCATGCTTACTATTCCAACTGTGAGCTCAGTCTTCACTCTTCCTCCATCACCTGCTCAGCAGATGTTGTACCAATCCGGCCTCACTCCCCCCAGCTGTCAATCTAAATCTAATCCCTCCTTTTTTTCCCTCTCCTCTTCAGACAGGTTCGGCGGTAACACAGTGTCAGGAAGGGTGTGAAACCCAGTTGGCTAGCACAGATGGTTAATGACAATAATAACTTAATGGATGGACACATTTTATTACACGCATGGGATGCAGCCTATGAAACCACACAGTGATCAGCAGCTTGCATATCCACCCAGCATCACATCTGAACTAATAGCTGTGAGGTGATATGCCTGCTTAGTGTCTGTCACCGTCCCTTTGCTCTCAGTATGTAATGAGCTGTTGTCCTTGTAGAGCGAGTCACAGAGTACATTAACAGGCACACTAATAATTTAGTCTTAAGCTAATTAAGGCACTTCTCTGATGAGTGAAGCTGTCATGTGGACATCTTTATCTGTTTACCTTAAATAGACTGTTTATCTGCTTATCTCAAATAAACTGAGACAATCAGCTAATTAATAATATTGATAGTGGATTCACACTTTGTTATGAATCTGTTTAAAATAACAAATTTTACTGTTTGCTTCCAGTTTCGTAAATGTGCAGATTTTTTCTCTATTTGTATATTTTTAAGTAAATATAAAGCATATGGAATATTTGAGATTGCCTTTTGAACCACTGAGAAGCTGTGCTACATGTGTGTCATTCAACAACAACGAAATAATCAACAATAGCAAATGTATGCCGAGTAGAACACAGGTACTTTCTGTGCAGGGTAATTACATATCTAAAGAGGCTGGATCTAAAAGTAAATGATATTTGGTGAGCAGTAATAATGAAAAAACAATGTAAACTAAGCTATGCTTGAAATTACAGACTTACGCGATCCAATTATAGATCGTGACTAATACACCGCCTTAATATTGATGTTGACTGTTTATTAGCAGATAAGGAAAGACAAAGAGGATTAAAAATGTCTTGCTTTGTTTTTCTTAATTTATATCCTTATCGTTAATTTAAGTTTCAAACATTTTGATTGAGTTCTTAATTGAGTTGTTATTTATTTTGATTTTGTCTTTTTTATTTGTTAAAATGTGCATCATTGCTTTACTGTTTTTATCAAGCAAGCCAAAAAGTTTTTTGCAGTCATATAATTATCAGAATTGATGTACCTTTACCCTCAAGTATCAACATCTGCTTCAAACGTCCAACAAAATCTAACAAATAAGTTATAACCCTCCCGGGGAAAGTTTTAAAAAGTGCACATAAACAAATGCATTATACTGTAATGTGTTAGCTGCACAAAATTTCAACATAATTATGAGTATACTGTCAGCTTTCTGCAGCGATACCCTGTAATGTACCTGTCCCCATACAGCAAAGGCTTGGTTAGACACTGCGTGCAGGCCTCGTGGAACCACTGACCACAGCTGCCACACTGTAACATCTTCAGGTTCCACCTGCAACCCAGTCACAAGAAAGAAACAGCAAGAGAGACTTTAAACACACAAATGAATGAATGAATGTGTCCAGCAGCATAATTGAGCGATGGCTACCGAATGATGACTGCAGCATTTCATAAGACGTATCTTGTGGTCCCACGACTCACAGTTGGGCGTTTGCTTTATTCTACTTGAGGTACTACATAAGTACTACATAGGAGCTAGCCAAACACAGAGAGTGCATATAAAAGATAGCTTGGAGTACTTTTATTTTATTGATTGCATATCTGACTTGATCTTTGATACACGTCAGATGCACTGCGTGCGCTTTATAAATAACCCACAATACGCCTTTGAGATATCTGAGTTCAAGCTTTGTGGGAGAATGAAAAAAGTTTAGGAGCATACACAAAGTGTACAGTCAAACTTAAAACTGGCCTCTGCAGTGTCACTCACTCTCCAGGTCCGGCACAGTAGCAGTAACACTGCTGCTGATTGGTCAGGTGCTGTGGGTCCCAGTCCAGGGATGACAGCTGATAGGGTAGCCGAAGTTTCATAAACTGCATGAGCCGGGCAAAGCGCCCCCGTTTGAGGGCCCCCCCTCTCTGTGAATACAATTTGAGGACAGAACTGATTGGTTTGCGACCTCTGAAATCACTGTCATGTCAGAGCAGCGAGGGAGACGGATCACATGCGATGGGGAGAAGGCAATTCGTTTCATTTTATTGTAGGTCAGCTGTGAGAGATAGTGTCCGAGGAAGCGGAAGTCTGGACAATGAGATATGGACATTGACCGATTGACAATTAAGCGAGTGCCTTCTCATCTCATATCTACAGAACTGGAGCACATGTGATTGATTGACTTTAAATGTACTTTTCTCAACTCCAGTGTAGTTTTTCAGCTTCATAGCTATTGATTGTTCATGATTTCACTGACATAATGTAGAACATCTAATACTCAAGTCAATACTGAGAGAATTAGTGCGCTTTTACCTCGAATAAACCCATTACCTGCCACACACAACAGGGTAGCCGCAGCACAGCTTGATATATTTGACTGGATTTCTCCTATATTACGCACTGAATGTTTTTCCCCCCAGCATGTGAAACGTAGAGATTAGCCGTCTGACCTTGGTTGCGACTGCAAAGACACATTGCCGACATATCCACGAATCGCTGTCAGCTTCCGGTTCGATGGTTGGCGTGTGACACTCCGGATGATAACCTGTAATGGGAGGAGGAGGCAGAGCATTTAATTCGTGTTTACAAGACACACAGCCGGAGTGACAATAATGACAGAGCAGCTCCATGTTTAGTGCCAGTTTGTTTCAGCTGCATGAAAAACATTTCACTTACACTATTTGCATTTAGAGAGAGAAACGTAGCGAATATGTTTGTCTGCTTTTTCCTCAAAAACAAACTGTCAGAAACCGTGTATGCATGACAGAGCTGTGAAGACATGACGCTAAGATTTGCTGTCATTGCTGTGACAGTTTTAAAACTTCCTCCCACTTGCACTTCAGTATATCGTAGCTTAAAGGTCCAAATGGAGTAAAACACTAAAATGCATGACCTTCACTGTGCAGAATATGCATGTGTAGAGGTCAACACTAGCCTGCTACTTTCTGAAATCTTATGAAGTGGGAAAATTTCTCAGTCCTAACTGAAAATAACACTTTAAGACAGCCACATGTGAGCATGATTAACCTTTCTGAAAGTCAATCATGGTCCATCACTTTGTACCTTTTTAAAAAAAAAAAAAAAAATATATATATATATATATATGCTTGAGACTAATCCTCACCCCTGTAATATCCTGATTTGCATTCATAAAACTCACAGCATTTACACGAGAAAGACTCCCCTTTATCCTGGGGCTGGGGGATCAACTGCCAAGATTTTAAGGCTTGTAAAAGCTAGCAAAATTCCCAACTGTTTGTGAATTCCCATCAATTCCTGGAAGGTTTCTATGCTACCTACAAGTTCCCATATATAGTCACTAGATAGAGAGAGGCAAAACTCAATGCGGTGTATTCAATGTAAAGAAGTGTGACGAAGACACATCAAGCTTTCACTGTATATACACAAAATTTCATTTAGAGTATTGCACATCTTGTAATCTGCAGTTAAACCTTTAAAAATCTTACTGCGTGCATTTTTCAGCAAGACAGAAAAAGAAGATGTTATTTTAGGATTGCTTAACTATGCAATTATCAAATTAGCTGCAAATTATTATTCTGCAAATTAGTATTTCCAGTTCTTAAAATATGTCTGGAAGGGATATTTAAGTCAGCAATAAACCCCAGAGAAGTTTTTTTTTCTCACTTTGTTTCTGGTTCCGATGCAGGTGCCAGCGACAGTATTACTCATTTCTGATATGTGGTTTTCTTTTTATAAGTGTGGCACTTTTATTTACCATAATGTGTCAAACGTTCAAGGTCAGTGCAGGAACTGGTGGAGCACCACCATTTGACAGCGTGTGATGAGGTGTGCTCCCTTACCGTGGCGACATTTAAGACAATTTATGAGGGGTTCTTTAAGAGGCGGAGCGTCACAAATACAGCAAACTTCTTCCACTCCAGCAGCAACTGAGGCAAACAGAAAAAGACAGAGAATAGCAGGGGAGGGGAGGAAGGAAATGTGAGAGAGGAAGACAGAGAGAGAGAAAGCAGTCAACAGCATTAATTTATGTATATTGATTCACATCCTTGCCACCTCATTGATTTCAGTGTCTCCTGTACCCTTTCAGATTTCACTTCATTTGATGAGCGGATATCCAGCCTGGTCCTAACAAGTGTCCAACTTCCCCTTTCTCTTGATGTTAGGTAGAGTGGGGGTGCTAGCTCCCTGTGGAGTCTAATAAACTCTTAAATAGACTGTAATATACCAATTACATCTCAACATGCCCCCTGTCAGAATACTCAGAGCACTCGGTATCATAACCTCAAACGTAACTGAAATTTCTCTTCTGCATTTTTCTTTGACAACAGTTGAGAGATCTTGAGAGAAAAGGCACAAGATTTGAACTTTTGAGCTCACAAGAGGAACAAATCAGACGAGCATTCATTCAACTCCTTCAGCAAAATCTGAGAGTGGAAGCACCACCTTTACTGCGAGTTCATCCGAGCATCTCTGTGTTCAAAAGCTCAAGCTAGATGCATTTTTAACCCAACAAGTACAAAGTTCTCTCAACAGGAAGCTACTTACTCTTCTTGCCGAAGGGAGCGGGAGGGGGGGAGGAAAAAAAGGAGTTTTTCTTACACGAGTGAATGTCCTTTCTCAGTACCCAGAACTCAGAGTTGTCCTCAAATCTCACCAGACAACACTGCTTCACTCCATCTACCTGAGAAGGAGATAGCAGGTGAGCGGAATGATTGACAAAACTAAATGGAAGTCTTTTCAAATCCAGCCAAACACATTCATGCACATGCTGCATACACACAATCAAAGGTCTCTCTGTCACACACAAGCATACACACTCATACATGCACTTACTCTTTTCACATTGCCGAGGTACAGTAGTCCATCACTCCATCGAGCCAACACATCATCTCCTTCACTTACTCCCCCCATCCTGAGGAAAGAGACAGAGAGGGGAGTGAGAGCAGGGCTCATGTGAAATGGAAATCCGATTTATTCGCTGAATACTTTGCTGCCATTGCTGACAGAGGGGTTTATGGCCCCGGCATTTCGACTGCTTCTGAGACAGGCGGGCTTCAGTGCAAAGGGGTTAAAATCTCCCCCCCTCCATCCGCCTCCTTTTAGACTAGAGCATAGCGACAGCCTGTATCCACCACAGTGAAAGATGAGAGTGAGTACACAACCAGAGAGCAAGACAAATGATTACTGCACACATCAAATACACATACACACACAGAAAAAAAAACACTGCATGATGACTACTGCAATACAGTTTGACTGAATGAGCAAAGATCACAGTGCAGCTACTTGAAACATCTTCCCTGCACTTTGCTGTTGTCTTCCCCTCTCCCAACATCTTAAAAACTTGAATAGATGCATCAAATGACTCTGCAGGCATTATCTCTGCACATTGAGCATTTGTTCCAGTGCATGCACTCAAGTCAAGACAGACGCAGGATGCATTACAGTGTATGTAGCCTTTTGTGAGTCAGAAGGAAATCAGACAAATTTCGCTGAAAGCTGGCCGGTGAAGGGTACCTGTCAAGTCGAACTCCTTTCCGTCGGGGTCACAGTGATTCCTGGACAGGTTGGACATGAAATGCCCTCATCTGCTGTGGGTCTCCGCTGCCCAATTACTGCCAGCTCGGATGCGCAGCCTGCGTGTTTGCAAAAAGTGGATGATGTGCATGTATGTCCCTGTCTGTGCCAAGCGCCTGTGTGTGTCAGTCAAGCCGTCAGCGAGGAGGGAGAGGAGGAGGAGGAGGAGGGGGGACTGACTGTCCGTCCGTCTCTCAGTCTAGTTTGTCCGTCCTCCGCGGTGCCGTTTCGTCATGTTCCCGTCGCTTTTGCTCTCAACCCCCCCTCTCCGTCACCACCTACTGATGCTATTAAGGCGGGTTTGTCAGAGCAGCACCGGAATCAAGCCGCCAGAGACGCCATCATCCCTGCCTCTCGCTCTCTACCGACTTGTTGTGACGCAGACATAAAACACCAAGATAGAGTGGGAGGGAGATACTGATAGAGGGGGATCCAGAGGTGGCGGGGGGGTCCTCCACGAGAGCACCTTCCTGTGTGAGAGATTGACCCTAAATCGCTGTGACAAGGTGGGATTGTAATTTCTGAGAAAAGAAAGGAGGGTGGCGGTGCGCTAAAAGCCAGCGGAAGCAGCGCGCCCGGTGACAGGGGCCAATTAAGTAGCCAATTAGTGAGTTTAGCCGCCTCATTAATCGGTTTCAAACAAGAAGGGACCGGACAAGTTTAGGAAACCGGTGGGAAAAGTTTTCAGCAGTAGAAGCTGAGCAGGAAGATTAAACTGTTGCTTTTCAGTGCTGATTTTTAGCCGCTGCCTGCTAAAATGAACTGAATTTTGTGTTATCGTTCTTTCTGTTTTACTCAAGAATTTTGGGATAACATTAAACATTATTTAGAAAACACTACAATGGGATCCCAGTAGATTTAAAGCATATATGAGCTCAATGACTTGCAACACAACGTCACAGAGAATTACTTCCCATATAAACCAGATCTTACAATTTTATCTAAAAAATAAACTCCAAAGGCGACAAATATCCAGAGGCCATCTCCTCTGGGCTGTGATGTCTGATGGCTCACAAAAGAAAGAAAAAAAAACACATGAACAAATGCACAGTGTCCCTAATTGCACCAGTTCCAGTCATACATCCAATGCAGGCTGCTTCATTGAGTTCAGTCTTGAATGAACCATGCACGTTGTTGAGTATGTAGGGTTACTGAAAACCTATTAACCGCTTCAGAAAAAGCAAACATCGGGGGGAAGCTGCTTCCAGAGAGTCACAGACACGTTATTAAATTGTAAACAATGCTAAATCACACCGGGATTTAGATTACTCTTACAGTTAAATTGCTTTAGTCGAACGGCGTGTTTTGCTGCTTTTGGCTGCAGGCTCATCCATCAAATCCAAGGTTGTGTTTGTTTGTTTTTGCTTTCTTTTCTTGTTTATGTCTTGCACATTACTCACACCAGTCGAGCGTGTGGTAACACCGCCGTGCGGTTCAAAATGGCCCCTGGCAGATTAAAAAAAGAAAAGAAAAGAAAGAAAGAGAGAAAGCGTAAAGTGTCATTTTCCAAATGTGGCCGCTGGGTGGCGAACAAACACCAGAACAGGAACTCTACTGAATCAGGCCTCTCAGTCTCATAGACTCGCAGGATCAGAGTGAAGTTCGAGAAAAGCCCCAGAGTTGTGATGATGGTGATGATGATATGAGTAGGATAATAAGAAAGGAAGAACATTTAAAGTCCTCATGGAATCTGTAATGTCGAGACTTCACAGGTTCTAAGACAAAAAAAAAAGAAAAAAGAAAAAAAAAAGAAGCTGAAACCTTGACATCATGGGTTTTTATTGCATGTGATGGGTGTGTTGTTTCTCAAGTTCCTTTCCGTGTCACAATTTAAAATGCATTTGCCATTACAGTCACACAGTAGCTGTTGCACTCTGAATGGTAGCATGGCCTACTTGTTACAGATGAAACCATTCATCCTTGAAGGAGCAGAGAAGGCAAATACTAACATTTAACACTACAGCAATGCACTAAAAACAGCATTAGATAATTACTTAAAATATGAAGCTAAACCTAAAAGTGTCTAGACTAAATGTCATGGGCCTGGGGGTTGGTCTGTGGGCTTTGGGTGAATACCGATCAGCAGATGAGTTCAGTTGTGAGAACAGGTGTGTTTCTGGGATTTCTCAGTGAGGTGGCACAGGAGTGACCAACAACTAGTGAGGGACTTTTCTTAAAAAAATATATCAAATCAGTTATATGAGTTAAATGACTCATATTGATCTTAATTTGCAGTCCTTGTGAATGCATTACAAGATGTGACTGCCCTGTGACAATGTGGCACACATAAGCACAAGACGCATGGTGATGGCACTAACAACGGTCTGGGTACAACTGTAAGGGTGATTTATTCTACTTATCAGTGGTAAAAATAAAGAGCAATATCTCTCCCGTTCTTTGAGCTCAGGTTTGTAAGGTAAAGACTGTTTCATGCATGTGTGTGTGTTGACTTTTCAAAAATGAAGAATGTATTGTTGAAAAAGTGCCACAAGTAGCCCAGATTATGCCCAAGAGTGTCTGCTGTCTAGGTTTGCATTGTGAATATGGATGTGCAAATATCCTTAAGGGTATATTAGTCTTAAAGGGGCCATCTGAATTTTTCTACACATTAAGCTACACCTACCAATCATGTGGGTCAACCTGTGAAAAGTCTTGCGTACTGCAGAGAGAACCTGCATTAAAATCTGAGGGTTCAAGTTTAAGCTGCTTCAGTAGCCTAACGTGGATTTATGAAGTCTGGTGATACAGAAGATAGGTCAGAGGTCAGGTTTACTTTTAGGTGTATGTGTTTAACAGGGACTGCTTTATAATTGTTATTGTAATATATAGGTTTATCAAAGTATCAAAGCCAATTTAATGGGGCCTGTTTTTCTGCAGTCAGCGTTCGTTTAGATGAAGTGAAGATTTTATGGATGTAAAGACTTTCAAAAATGAGGGAAAATGTGTTTGCGTGTGGTTGTGCGTACACGTGCTCGTGCGCGGTCACGCTGTCTGCCTGCTGGTCCTTGAAGTAACATTTCCCCGGAGGTGGAAACACGGCTGTTGCGGTGTGTCGCTATCCACACTGTGGGAACTGCCCGGAGAGACGGGTATGTTGCCAAAAGCAGTGAATGCACAACGTACAGGAACTGCGACGTTAGAGCAAGAGAGAGGCGGAGAGAGAGGGAGGGGAGGGAGGGAGGGAGTTTGCAGACAGACCAAAGTGCGCTATCAGCTGCTGAAAGCTGGACAGACGAACGGTGTGGAGAGACCGATAGAGGGGCGAGAGAGGGTGGGGGGGTGAGGCGGAGGATGGAGACTCCCTCGTCGTTGTCGGCGGTGACGGTGGTACAGATGGGTGCGACTCTCCTCAGCTGAGCTGGCCACCGATCCAGTTGCCCCGGCGGTCATCCAATGCAGTCTGGATCGAGCTGACCGCGGTTGCATAGCGCACATCCTGCGAATGAGACTTCGCTATCAGTAAGTTGAATTGTAGCTTCCTTCATTTATCTTCCTCTATTTGCTTAATTTTTATAGCCTAGCTCTTAATTTTTACGGCCTTCGTGTCCCTGAGTGATTCGCAGCAGGAAGCAAATGTCATCATCTGTCACTCTGCTGTGTTTAAATACACGCGTCAAACTTTTACAGCCCTCACAGTTTCAAGCTCCATTCTCGTCTTCCAGCCCACATCGAGACTGAAGCTGTCATTAGGACTGTACATTGCTGTAGCACCACCCCACGGCTACATTTATTAAACAGAAAATAGGCACTATGGGGTGTGACTTACTGTAGCCTAGTTACTGCGTTATATGTGTGTACACCTCAGTCATATGTGGCTGTTTGCTTTGGTCAGGCCAGTGAATAGCAGCCTTTCAGACTTCTGCATAACCGTTGGTCAGCGAGATCATATGCTGCACTGGTAATGCTTTGTTTCCCCTGCAGGCCTGCTCCCCTTTCCTCTCCTGGTACAAACTTGCTTTCTTGAGCAAGAATATAATGAACCATCACAAACCCGCAGTAAAGACAGAGCATTATGCAAGAGAAAGTTTAGGGTTACACAAATTGTGAAGAACCAATACAAAATGAGTGGAAACAAGGGAGTGCCATTAATGCATTTTTAGACCACACACTTTTTACGTGCTCTTTCTGATCAGATGGGTCATCTGAACATGCTAGCAGGGCAGACTCTGCTGTTCTGTTGCTGGTCACATCACAGCCATTCTGTATCATTTGCTCCAGGTAAAAGTAAGAAGAAACTGTGAGGCACGCAACATTTATTAATATGCCAAACTGCACAACTGAGCACCTTAGCATGTTTTTTAATAAAAATTCTTCAGGTTAACATAACTGTTTATGTGTCTGTGGTTGACATTTCCATCACCCTCATATCACTCCTATACCCGCCAACTGTCTCGCTCCACACCTCTTTTCCTGTAACAGTGTTTACTTGATGTTTATCTTCAGGGCAATCTAAATACCAAAGAGGGGAAAGGGAAATGGAAGGAGGGGTTGCTATGCAAATCCAGACCTGCTGTAGGGCACAGTCAGTGTGTTAAGCAAATCAACTCCAGGATACCATTTAGAGTGTTGCTTTTGTTTAAAATGCAGTTTAAAGGCTGTCTTAAAGTTTTTAAAGCTAGAACTGATAGTTTGTCCAATGTGGAGCTCGAACATGTGAAAGTATTCACAGGTGATGGAACAAGGCACATATGACGAGCGTGGCTATACGTCATAAAGTTACAGTTAGTTTATTTACTGGAAATGACTGATGATTACTTCTTCAAACCTTAAGTACAAAATCCAGCTGCCCAGTGGTCACACATTTAGGGACATCATTCTGTACACTGTTACAGCCTTTCCTCATTTTATGAAACAAACTAATTATTAAGAATCTAACTGGAAAATAGAAACATTTAGACTTCTCACATTTGTTATGTAACTGTCTAAGATAAGACATTAAAAAGCATCAAAATAAAGAAAATACAAGTTAGTTTTTGAGAAGAAAAATCGAATTCAAGATAAAAAAAAAAAGCTCTGAGAAAAAAGTACTGTGCAGTGCAGGAATAAAGAGTCAAGTTTTAAGCTTTGATCTAAAACCTAGAAAGTTGGAGTGAGTGTCTGTGTTTCTGACAGTTTGTTTCAGATTTGTAGTGCTTAAAAGGAAAACATTGCTTTTCTATAATGAGTTTGGACATGTTAAATGAGTCAGTTGTAGAAATTTAAGTTAGTTTCTGGCTGCTGGCCTGATGTGATCCACTTTTATTGCCTTAGCCACAGCTTTAGCACCACTGTCTGATACTAATGTAATTTTATACTTTTATGTTATAAGGAAATGAACATGTGAGTACTTAATTCATTCCAACAGCTTCTTAAGAAATATCTAAAACATTTCTTATGTGTCTCTTATCTGCAGCAGCTGGCACCATGCTACCCCGTAACATACGTACAGGTGGTTATAACCTGCCAGGGGTGGAATCAGACAATGTGCCCCTCATTGGCTTTCGACCTTTATCACCTGACAGAGGAACCATAAGTGGCCACTCAGGGAGGAGAGCCGCTGACGCTGAAGTGCAAAGTTCGCAGGTGAATGGTTTTTACTTTGCCTCAAAATGGATGGATGGATGTTTTATATTTGTATATTGGTGTTCCCAACAATCACAGAAAAATATGTAAGTTTATTCAGTGTAATGTTACCTCTCCCGCCAACGACCTCATATTGTTACTATGGCTTATTTGTATTGTAATCTGAAAATGTTACAACAACTTTCAACATGTTCACAATGTGTTCTGACCATCGATAAAGGCGCTAGCTACAACTAAATTTAGCTAATAGTAGTAACTGGCTAAATGAATAGCTTATTCATCTAATGGATATTACAGCAGTTAATGCTGTAAGCTAATGCTATTTCCTGCTATTTTATTAGAAAGACGTTGTATGTTTGTGGCTTTAAGAAATGTGTGAGATTAAGTCAAGTCAGATGTGGCCCACTGCGCAATTGCAGCACAAGCAATGGGAGCAGCCCATTCCTTCATTTGTGTTACTGACACTGCATTGCCCAATCTAATCTCTTAACAAGACTGGCCCCTCCCCTACCTTCGCTGTGCACTCACATTTCGTGTGGAAGAAGTGTCGAAGGTGCTACTGAAAAGCTGACAGAATAAAAAGAAACTAATAATAAATGCAGAAAAATCTGTCAAATTAACCAACATGTTAGCTGTTGCTGCTGTTGGACCGTGAACAGTAGTACCAGCAGCATCTAGTAACAGCTAGTAACCACACCTCAAAGTCACAGGAGGCTACTGCTTCTAGCACCAGCTGTGGAGAAGTGAGGAAGAGACGAGGAAGATACAATTATTGTGGTAAGAAACTAGATGGAGGACAGTAATTTGAAGCGAGAGATTTAAGGATTCAGGTAAAATGAATGGGTGCTTTTACCATGAGCCACTGCAAATAGCAAAAGTGTGGCTTTTAATATTGTAACCCAACAAACTACTGATTAAAACCTGCTTCAATATCTAAAATCAAACAAAATGAAATAAAATATAAACGTACATTGGCGTTTCCAACAATCACAGAAAAATATGTTTTTTCAACATAATCTTACTTTTCTTGGCTACCTGTCTGTTTCGCCATTGACCTGATATCTTTACTATGGCTTCTTATGTTGTAATCTTATAATGTTTCAACAACTTTGAACAAGTTCACAATGTGTTCTGACCATTGAAAAAGGCGCCAGCTACAACTACATTTACTGAATATCATAAACTCGCTAAATGGATAGCTGATTCATAATAATATAGCATTTAGTGCCGTGCAAGCTAATGGTGTTTCATGTATATGCATTATACACATATATATAGATACAGTGATCAGTGTGGGTTTTTTGTCCCAGTCCAACCCTGATCTGAAATGACTGTGAAAACAACAGCTCCCATGATTTTTCATAGAAAATTGCTACTTTCGGACTTTTGGTTAAATAGAGGATAGTCACAAAATAGTACAGAATAAAGTGGGCCTTTCTAGCTCTCGCCCATAATTGTAACAGTTATGGGCTAAAATGTTGGGTTTTTTTTTTACCTGTTTTCAATTAGTGCATGAACAAAACAACAGATGTTGTTTGATTCTTAGATTTTATAAAGGTTTATTACTGTATTAATTTACCTCTCTGTAAGTATTAGTATTGCCACAGAACCACAAGCCACTTGACAACATTCGCTGACCACTAGAAGGAAATCGATTTCAAACCACAACCAGGTCCTTCTTTTATATGCACGTAGGTTTCTTTTTTAAGTTATTATTCTTGTGTAATCTGCAGGACTAACTATTTAGAAATTTGTCATAAAGAGGAGAATTCTTTAATTCCATCCATTTTCTTAACCTTTTCCAAGTCAGCATTGAGGGAGACAGGCTCTGGAGCATATCCCAGCTGTCATGGGGTGAGGGGTGTGGTACAGCTGGACAGGCCACCAGTCTACCACGGGGACATAGAGACAGATAATCATTCACACACAGTGCAACTCATTTATGGATAAATTATCTTGTATTGCCAGAATACTAGTATTTTTTGGCAAAATTTGGTTTCAAAGAAAACAAGTAGCAGTGTTTAGCATATAAACTGTTGTGTGTTTGTGGAAAGAGGCTTTTTTCCCTGACACTATCACCTGCCCTCTGGGTGAACTGCAGCCAATGTTGGCACAGTGGAACTGTTCTCAGCAGATTGGTTTGGTCCAAAGTGGGAAAACTGCATAGTGTGTATTGGAAAACATCAATTACATTGTACATCTTTGCTGTGGAAAAGAGTCAGATGAACTTGTGACATATCCCAGAGCTTTGTTCTGTGGGACTGTGTTGATGGTATTTGAGTATTGACAGTCATATGCTTTAGTAGGTTTTCTGATGTTGACACAATAAATAGATCTCACAGAGCTGAGAGGGGATTAGGAGACTGTGACATTTGCCATGGCCTCACTGGCCATCACAGCTAGGAGCATTTAGAGCATTGTCCCAAGAAACCGCGTGAGCTGCCTTGGACTGTATAAACAGCAGATGCGGTAGGCTGCTTTTCAGCCCTAAGGGAATAAAGCCACTGTGACTCAGACAGAAAAGCCAAGATACAGATGTATGAACGCGTGTGTATTGCACCATGGCAACACAAACACTGCTATTTACCATAAAGTGAATAAATTCAAACTAGTAGAATACATGAAAACACTTTTGTTATAGAGCTAATGGTTAATCATGATAACAGCTAGCAAACGGATTTAAGAAAATATTGTGTTTGTAGTGGCAACCCTTATACAACTCATTTAATTCATTTTGCATTGAAATTTAATCTTGAACACTTCACTTCAGCTATAGGCACGTCTAAGTTTTATGTATAAAAACTGCATAAAAATAAGCCAGTATCAACAGATGTGTAAGACATTTACAACAGGTAGAACAGAGCAAAATAATCAATAACATTAAAACATCACGACAGATCTCTTTATCTAGTTTTTTAAAAAAAACAGCCTAATGGCATTAGTGGAATTGCTAGCAACGTGTTAGTAACGATCTGTATGTCGGTCCAATGCTTTTGTCCTGACTGCAGTGTCTCAGCAGGAAGTAAATGCTTAAAATGTATTTTAGACACTAACAGACTGAGGAAGAATAAATCGTACTAATCGTACTAATTGAACTGTTACAATTTACTCTTCTTTCTCCTTGCTGTGATTTTTTTTAATGACAGCCATGCTATGCTGCATATGTATTTACATCCTGCACAGGATGTGCTGTAATACTATTGCTCCTCCCCCGATGCTTCTTTTTCTGCCATCTTATAAGTAGGAAGGGCATGTGGTGTAAAACTCTGCCAAATCAAACATGCGGTGATATCTCCTGCGGTGACCCCTTGTCCCAAGTGAGCGGCCAAAAGTAGCCTCGATTAGAATAAAATGTTGTTTTAAAGGTCAATAACACTTTGGTTTATGACCAAATTACTGCAAAACTAATGATGGTCCTTAGTTGTACTTGTGTCCCTGCCTTACTAACATACTACCCATGTTAGTAAGGCAGGGAACATAAAGCTTTGTATATTTAAAGAAGCACTTAAAGACATTGTTTCTGCACTGTTTATATGAAGTTTTTTGTTTTGCTACATAAACTCCTCAATTTGACTTTGTAAAAGGGAGTAAAACTGACTTTAGGTTAGGAAGTTAAATGTTCAGGGCACAGGTAAATTTCCCACGAACTTTGCGTTTGTTAATGTTTAATCATCTGATAGTGAGGTTTTCTGAGCATTAGCAGACTTACACACACATGGTCAAATGCTAATTTAAGCTGAAGGCAAGACTACTGTTTGAATTCTTCTTACACGTACAGAACTTTAGCCTTTCTTAAGACCAACGTTGGAAACAAAACGGTTGTACTGGTTCCTAATAATATACTGACCAAGCTTCATGCCCCAGCTTCACAGGGCTCTTTGGTTTACTTCTCACCAAGTCTCAAGAAATGCTGCAGCTAAAAAAAGAAGTTACACTGACTTGCTTTCCAAATGACCAGACTTCCTCTCTGTTCGTGTCACATGTTGTCTGCTGAAGCTCGCATTAAATAATGCATGCTGTGGCCTGATCAGTGGATGCAGTGTACACCTGCTCTCCCCGTAAACAGTATCTAGTATCACAGGCTGTCTCCAAGGACAGGCTGTCAAGTGGAATCCAATACGACCTCTTGTTCATTCTTTAATGAGGGAAACTTGGATGTGTGATTCAAGATGCATAAAGTAACCTGTGGCATTTCGAGCAAACATATTGTAGCAAACTATCTGCAATGTAAAAATGTAGAAGAGTAACAGGAGTGCTTTGTTTTATGTTTTGACAACTTTTCCAGCACAGCTGATTGCTCAATCCTGAGCATTCAGTCTGTACATCTGAAAAACAAACAGCACAAAATAACATATTATTATGCATATTATCCACTGAGCGAAAGCCTACTGCTATGTTGCTACTCCTCTGCTCTGTTTTAACGTGTAGCCCTACAAATCGCTAAGTTTCTTATTACATGCAGCAATTGTAAAACTCAAATTTGTGGATGTGCAACTGTTACAATTTCAAAATGTTACATTTACTTTATACAAGATAATTGTTATGTTGGTGTTGCAGAAAAGAATCTGGGTAATAATGTGGTAACAGTGGGAATAATAAGGTAGGAACAAGAAGGTAATAATATAGAAATGACAAATTATTACTACTTAGTTACAAAAGTAATATCCAAGTAATTATATTGTATGATCATTGGTTATAGCTGAGAAATACTTCAGTAACTTAAATAATTAGTAACCGTACAGTAATATAGTGGTAATAATAGGAACCTGTTAGTAATAAATAGTGTACTATGGTAATATATGCACATTGTGGTAGTAACTAAATAACAATTAAGTAATATTGGTTTATCTTTAATATAGCACAAGACAATTACTTGCATATTAGTTTGGTAATTAAGCAGTAATAACTTGATATTTCTGATAGTAGAGCAGGTCACCTACCAACTGGAAAGTCAGTAGATCGATCCCCAGCTCTTCCTGTCCAGCTAAGATACGGAACCC